GTGAGTGTTATCTCGTTTAGCTTCCATCTTTCATCTTTCATAAACGGTATTCAATTTAATTCAATTCAATTTATTAAAGTTTCCAACGAAACATTACAAATCATTTTTTTTTTAATTACAACAATTTAGGAATACATATTGGAAACAGAGGGGTCCACTAAAAACAATGCTTGTATAAGGTTAGTGTGGACCCCTCAAATGATACTTTGAAATAATGAGTGATTAAATTAAGAAGTTCGTAACAACAAAAGGAATTATAAAATAGGGCAAAAAAGGGGATGCCAACGGAGACGAAAATGGGACAAGACAGTACTTTACAAGACAAAGATATAGGATAACACGGTCACAATACAAAGAGTAGACAATGCCATAAAAGAAGTAAGAGATCAGGGTTACAGAAAATAAAAATACATTCCAATTCCAAATCTAAACTTGAATGATTGAAAACATGATTCATAAGTTTCCTTTTTGCTCTGATACAGTTCATAAGGAGTTCAGACATGTTTCATTTCATTTCCTTCAATCCCATATTTATGTCACTTAAATAAAACATTCGAGACGTCGACATAATGCGGACTCCGTGTGATAAATGAGTTACCCTGAAGCCTGAAGGGAGAGTCCTGTATCAAAATCTTTTCGGAATCTGGAAAATATCAAGAACCATTTCAATCCTGATAGATGAATGGTTAGTATGATAGAGTACGTATGTAACGCCTGGGGGTATAACATGACCCACGTGACATCCCTAATGGATATACGAGGGGCACGCTGATATTCTACCTAATAGAGGCAAGCCCATTAAGAAATACGGCAGCAGTGTGACAGATAGGCTTGAACTTTTAGATTGGAGAGAACCAAACAGTAGGGCGTCTTTAGAACATAGTATTGATAGGGGCGTCGGATAAGATTGCCAATACATTACCAATATGCAATACCATAAAATAAAAAAACAAATCAGGTCCTTTAACTTTCAAATATGCCGTCGGTGTCCCCAAATTGTCAATTTTTGCTAAGAACAAGTATGGATTTGCAGTCTAGAAAATTTAAATTACGATAGGGGCACCCTAAACCGAGGCCTTGCTCTTTTGATGCAGCAGTTTGTGAGTGAAACCACACTATCGCAACTATTTTCGAAAAATCAACTCAAGGATAATTTCAATACACGATTGTACATCTCATGGAAATCATGTTCGGATTACGTAATACCTCTTTGTCATGTTCACACAAGTCATGGTGACACCCCCCCCCCCCATCAGTGTTATTTAGGGTACGCATAATTTTATGCGTGTTCCCAGCACCCCCCCCCCCCCTTCAGCATAAGTCCGGTGTGTAAAGTCAAAACGAGTAGACCTTTTTCTTTTGTTACGAGCCGGAGATTTTAAGAACACGCATGCGGTCCCTCCGTTCCCGGAGTGTGGGGGTGGGGGGGGGGGTGACACATAAGGCTATTTAAATTGCCTTGTGTTTAACAAGTTTTGAAAGTAGTTGCGATTGTGTTGCCCTAATAGTTGCATCTTGAATGAAATTAGCGGACTTGTGGTGGACGATTGCGGCATCTTCAATTATCAGATTTAGGCCATCTATTGTCTGGAATGTCAACACTTAATTTATAGGAGCAACTGAAACTATTTTCCGCGGCAATTGGGGACATTTACCACTTCAGATTGGCAGGCAAGCAGACACACCGTTCATCTTCTGGACCTTTCAAAATAAACAACCGATCATTTACGTGTAGGTCCTATAGGTCTTGAACGGAAGACTTTCAGGACACATTTCGACACGATCTCGATCGAAAAACATTCAGAATCCTATTTTCTTTCCTTCGGCCTAGAGCGAAACACATTTCCAAACGAAAAATAGAAAACATCCTCATTCGCACCTCATAAAAATAACCTCCAATTGAGAATGAATGATACAAACATCCTTTCCCTTCTGGCTCTCCAAATCTGTTCATGATTTGTGTACAGTGTAAACGCCCCACGGCATGCCACACCTGATCAGTGGGGGTCGTTTTCACCAAAATATTTACTATCAAGCAGCGTGGGGGTCAGTGAAAGCAAGCGAGTACAGATGTCGACCCGCTTGGTAATATGGCGAGAGAGACAGAGACAGAGACAGAGAGAGAGACAGACAGATAAATAGACAAACAAAGAGACAAAGAGATCATAATTATATGGGAGGGGGTGCGCTGATTTAAGATGAATGGATAATCAACATTTTATTTTCAATTCATAGAAAGAGAGAATCCTTTTTTACATGGTATAGTCAAAATGGAAGAAAAAAAACTTATTACTACGTATTTGTGTCATCACAATTCTGGAGGGAGGAGGAGACTGAGATGGAGGAGACAGAATTGTTGGTAAAGAAAGTATTGTTATTACATCTTTGAGGGTTTTTTCCCTTTTATATTCTGTTTCTTTTCTTTTTCTTTTGAAGAGAGAGAGGGGGTGGGCAGTATTGCTGACCTATAAAGATTGATGTAACGGAGGCCTTGACCATAATTTATTAGAATGAACTTTTCCATTTTTAAACGATTTCTGTCATATCACCATTGCGTTTCGCCATTGATTTGGTTGATCGTAAAATGTAATACTATTTGTAGTGGCAGTTCCTTAGAGCAAATAACACGAGTTTTCGATAAAATGATTTAAGAAGAAAGACAAACCAACTGACATTTACAGGTTACGAATTTAAACGTGACCTTCACTTTCAACCGACTTGTCTTGAACAATTCCAGAATCTTTCCAAAAATATGAGAAATTTACTGAGGCAGATGTCTATATTCAGTGCATGTTTCTCAGCATCTATCCGTGTGTCGTGTAAGTTGATGTGAACAGCTGTTCAGAAACGTCTTCGTAAAACCATTCTTTACAACTGCTACAAGGTGAACTCATTCTCACGGTCTTCATTCAAGATTCCATACATTCAATCTTTTAGATATAGGCTACATTTGTAATTTAAGATACAGACGATGCGTGTTTAGTCGTGGAAATATCATAGATTTTCCAAACAGTTGGAAACGCTAAGAAATATCGCAAGTTGTTTGTTTCATTTCGATAAACCTGCAAACGTAAAATTCATTTGCAACATACAAATATTGACATTGGCATTGCAGATTTTGCACAGACCAGGAGAAATATTTCAAATTTCGTGTTGTATGATTTGTAACTAGATGATTGTTATGGGGGGGGGGGGGAGGCATACATAAATCTCCGAGTATTATTATTATTAGACATTCCTTTATAATTATGCGCAATTCCTTTACCAAGCTAGTAACATCTTACTTCACCTGGGTTGTGAGACAACAGACAAGATAAAATGACTTGTCTTTTAATATGACGAACACGGCAAAGAGAAGGATTCTAACGCTTAAAGGGCAATCCATCCCTTGTATTGTAATAAGTAGATTTGTATGGAAGCAGAAAAATAACAGAGACATAGAAGTCGTAGGAATAATCCACGGTGGTCCGTTAGGAATATTTGTTAATATATTTCTATTATTGGACTTGTTGCTTTGTTGTATATTAATGCAGTGATATAGATTGTTATAGGAAATGACAGAGCTTTGAAATTCTAGTACACCCTTGCTTATTAGCATGTCACGCAGGTCATAAAATGGTGTCAGTCGTGTTGTAAGCGATGTCATATTAGAGAGGTGCACTTCCCTGGTCAAATCAACCTCAGTAATTTCATCTAATCTTTCAATAACTCGAAGGTGGTAGGTTCATAGGATACCCTACTTGATATATTTCACGCTTCTATTCCCTTGGTATTTTGCATGGACATTCAATAATCTCAGATTTATCCTCGGAATACATCTTCAAAACTAGCTTACGCAAGAGCATGATTAGAACTTTTTGAAATTACTGTAAGACCAAAAACTTTCACGTTTATGAAACTTACGAACTGTTTGTTAATCTCTCCCCTCCCTTAGAAAAGAAAGAGATCCAAGATTTTGTGATTTATCAACGAGGATAAATTAATGGCCAAACGGTATTCTCATATTTTCACTTTAATCCACAAGGCTCAAGTAAAAAGAGGGGGTCCTACCCGAGACACCCCGAAAGTTTGATATTCTTTTATACGTAGCATATTTCATCAATTCAAAATTTGTGGGGAAATGGTTTTAATGCTTCCTCAATCGCTGACTTTTATGGAACCCGCATTTCATAAAATATTGTCGGCCAGGCACTTTTAGCTATTTTCGCTCTCTCTCTTTACAAAACGACGTAAATTACGTCTTGACAAACTAAAGGCGGGGCCAGGAAACACAGTCGTCATGGCAACGGGACCATGTAACATGAAGGACATGAATGGTGATCGTGTTCAATGTGGTATGCAATGTTTAGAAACATATGACAGGATGCATCTGGAAACGATCCCCTAAAAGTCAAAACTAGACAATCTGTCAAACACCAAATATCTTCCGACGTAGAGGAAAGAATTAGTGCTATAAAGTTACTGCCGGGATCGCCGTGACTTTCAACCTGCTCAAGGGCGAAGATCAGCTTGGCAATGGCTAATATTAACGGGTCTATTCTATTTTAATAGCTCAGAACTTCAGTTGTTTCTGACAAAGGTTGATTGCAAACATAATAGATTATACGTATACACAGCCAGCAAAAGAAAGGAAGGTTGTGATTTGTAAAAGTCGTTGGGATGTATAGCATATCTAGAAAAAGGTTTACATTTTCAAAAAAAAAGGGCGTCGTACTCCTTTTTTGTTGTTGTATTTTTCTCACCATATGACCCTATTGAAATTAGTGATATCATCATTTTATTTCGGCCATCAGGGGGTTATGCGTATCAAACCGAAGAGGAATTGACGATGACACCGCAAACATGGAAATCTATGGTATCCTTAAAGAATCAAATGAGACAAAATGAGCAGGCATAGACTATCAAAGTATCATTTCACTTGCTTCAAGTACTGCACTTGAAGCAAACCCCTTCCTAAAAAAAGAAAGATAATTAATTTATAACTGATATGAAGACGGGAC